CAGTTTCAATCAGCTGTAAAGGGTTTTATTCTTTCTTAGTTCTCCCACTTGACCTTCAAATTATCATTTAAGTTTCTAGATTTCTACAAATTTAGAAAAACAAAAAAACAGTTCTTGCCTATCAAAAATCCTCATGTTTGACTTGCAAATGAAATTACCTCATTTGCTTGTGTATACAAGCTCCTTAATAAGAGACAACTGCCCCCCAAAAGGAGATGGAATGCAAATGCATATTTTTAAAGTTACATACTGCCCACACCCTATTACCAAATAAAGAGAAAAAGCAACCCAAGGAAACAGCTGGCGTTTGTTAGTAACTTTCTAGTAACCAAATGAGGTTCAGTTTCAGCATCTGGTTCTTGGGTCAACTTCTAGGTCAATCGCAGTATCTCCAAACTTATTCCTCTAGAAACCATTGATTAACATTGGGAAGTTAATTTTGTATTTTGAAAGCAAAACACCTAAAAACATATCCTTTTCTTTATCTAGTCCTTGCTTCTTCTCCCGCACAAGTGCTAGGCACTATCTGTATGGCGCAGTTCTCATTGAGGTTAGCATTTTTATTATTTCCTGGAATTCTTGACCCTTAGCACCACTCTCTAAAACACATCAGTTATGTATTGAAATCTTTTCCTAGGCAAAAATTGAGAAATGCAATTTTTTTAATATATAACAGTTTATTTTTACATCATTTTGTACATTTGAGAAATGCAAATATTTAAAGTCTAGTGCCAATTGGTGGAAGGACTGCTAATGAAATTCTGTAGCGGTTCTGGGGAATCAGCATATCTTTGCTTGTGTGTGTTGAGATAAGTGGCAGAAAAGCTACTTTTCAAATTGATGATCAACATATGACCCAAATTGCTACAATTAGAAGAAAAGTTTATCAGCAGCAATATAAAAATTTCCTCTTAATTGCAAATAGATTTAAAATGCACTTTAGTATTATTCGTAAGGAGGACTTAAATTTGATGATATTCTGCATAGACACATTGAAGATGTAAGTGTTTTGAATAATCTACCAACTACTAGTCTCAGTTATATCAGGTGAAAAGGTTTCACCACAGATTTTTTTCCAGGGCTGTTACTTGACACTGTAAGATCTCCAGGGCATATTTTTAAAAGTAAAAGAACTTGAAAAACAAGAATAAAAGTAAAGCATTTTAGTTTTTAGGTAGTTTAGTAAATAAAAAAAATATATCTCCAATGCAAGGATTAATCAATAATGATACTACTGGAAAGAAATGAAATTATTCTAAAACACAAACTCATTTCCTATGGAAAACAAAATAATATTTTTTCTTTAGTACAAGTTTTCCATCAAAGGATACCATGGAACTGAATGCCTTGCTGTGGCTGGCTACACATTCTACCCAATAGAACACATGCAAACAAAGAGGAAGCACACTGCCTAGAAAAAATACACAACTTCCTTTTATTTCCCCTTCTAATTAGAACTCTTCTTTGGGGACCAAATCAGAGACTTATAACAATTCACAACACCATATTTTCCAGTCCCCTAGCCAATAAAAATGAGAAACCACTGAAGTCAATGAATAACCTCAGTTATCCCCGGAAGGCAAGGGTAAGGGTTTTTGTGTTGAACACCTTACATGGACTTCTTATCCAGCATGAAGATCAGATGCCTGGAATCCAAAGCTCCCTCAAATTCTGAGGAAGAATTCTTTGAGAAAAATTATAGAGATCCCTTAATTATTCCATATTTTATTATAGATTGGCTGAAATATTTGCCGTGTGAGGTTAAGTGAGGGAAAATAAAACTATGGCATTATGTGAGTATAAACTCTAGGATCTCAAAGTGCTGTGCAAGCTGGAATTAAGTCAGTGTCCAGTTCTGGGGTCATGTAAAGTTTCTAAGAAGACAGTGACATAACAGTGATTAACTGGTGAGCAGAATAAATAGTTCAAAGGGGGAACAAACTAAATGTCCACTTATACACAAAAGGACAAAGGTATAATACACACATACAAACACTCAGGCACACTAGAATGTTATTCTAGTGTGAAACCTGCTATTTGCAACAACAGGAAGGATCTTACAGACATTATTACATCAGAGAAAGACAAATACTCTTTATCACTTAATGTGTGGAACATGAAAAACTCAAGCTTCCGGACACAAAGAGTAGGATTGTGGTTTACAGGAAATGGGGTATGGGGAAAATGGGGAGATGTTACTCAGATGGTACAAACTTAGTTGTAATGTGACTGAGTTGGGGATATTATGTACAGTGGGGTCATTATAGCTAATAATACTGTATTATATATATAGTACTTGAAAGTTGCTAAGAGAGTAGTTCTTGCCATACAAAAGAAATGGTAATTATGTAAAATAATGGAAGCATTAACTGAGCTACCATGGTAATCATTTCATAATATTTAAGGGTATCAAATCAACATTTTGAGCACTTTAAACTTATACAATGTTACATGTCAATTATATTTTATAAAGCTGAGGAAAAGGTAGGAGTGGGACATACTAAATGCAAGTTATCTGCTGGATAATTTTCAATGCATTTTTTTTTTACAATACAGTTCATTTCATTGAGCAACATTTATCACATTAATTCAATTTACTTTATCTCTTTTCTATTATGTTGCCTATTTAAAAACTTATACAGGTCTTTCTTATTGATTCATTTAATGGAATAGAAGTCTTTTCAAAGTTCAGATATTTAAAAATTGGCAGGCCAGGTCCTCCCTGGTGGTGCAGTGGGTTAAAGCGTAGCACTAAGAAGCTAAAGCCACTTCATCATGAATTCAATCCCCAGCCCCAGAGGTGACCCACATGGTGCGGGAGACCTCTCCTGTCTTGCCCACTGCTTCCCTCAGCAGTGTATTTCAGTGGGTCTGCCTGTTCTGCTCCCCTGTTCTGGTGAACCCTCTCACTGTCCCTGCACTACTGGCCTGTACCCCAGTTCTGTATACATAAATAAATAATTTTTTTTTAATTGGCAGGCCTATATTTTATATGCATACCAATAACAACTTAGTCAACAGTATGCCCACTAAAATATAATGCAAGTAAATCCTCTTGATGTCCCAGATTAAATAAAATAACAAAACAAAACAAAATCTTGTGGCTGCTTCCTCCTCATTTGCTAGAATACTCTTAATGGATATAAGAAGATTGACTATCCTGAGACCACCAAACTAGAAAGACGATATGCTGGACATTCCCAGAGTCTTCAAGCCAAAAGTATGAGTGAAGAAGCGTCCAGATCCTAAACCCCAACCCTAGAATTCACCCCTGCTGCTTGAGTCCTCCTTGTTAAGAGCCCAGACATCCTGAAGCAGACAGCTCTTCTGTCATGCTCTGTCCATGCTCCTGATCCAAAGAATTCATGAACATAAAAAAATAACTGTTTTGAGTTTCTTCTTGTTATTAAATGTTTTGTGTGGCTGGGTAAAGAGTAGTAGAGAACTGAAACCATACTTGTAACAAATCTACTGGTTATAAAGCTTACACCTGGAATATGATAGTTTGTACTGGGTGATATATTTCAAAAGAGCAAAAAACAGAACATTCAGAAGAGTGTAACAATGCTCCTTTATGAAAAAAATGGAAACGATTGGAGACAGTCACCAAGAAAAGAGAGCAAAGGGGATAGGCTAATTATTTTAAAATATTTGAAGGGTTACCATGAGCAAAAGTGAAAACAACTACTCTATATTCATTCATAGGACAGCCTAGGGAGAGTAAGCAGAAACTACAGAGAGTCAGATGGAAGAATTTTCTAATGACCAGGACTTTCCACGAAGGAAGAAGTAGCTTTATTGGGAAGTGATTTCCCTAACTTTAAAGGAAGTCAAACATAGTCCATAGTATCACCACCTGGTTTGGAGAAAATCCATTTATTCACCAGAAAGCTGAATGAAAGCTCCCACTTTAAGATTACACTGTAACCCTGAGATGTTTTTAATCTAAAGATCATCTTCATTTCCTTGTGCTAAGAAATCTAATCCCAACACATGTTGAACAGAGGGGAAAAAAATACAAGATGAATAAATTAAGTGAAAGGCAATACCAAAGTATAAATAGAAAGTGATGCAGAGCTGTATAAAAGAAAGGAATGGCAAAACTACAGGAAATTATAATTCAGCATAGCCACAAAGAAAGTTGAGGGAAAAATGAGCATGAAGAATAAATCAGGAAGCAAGAAAAGGAAAGCTAAAGACCCTATAGTAGACAACGTTGGGTGGAGAGGATGCTATTTATATGGAAAAATGGCTTTATTCATTTTTAAGATCCTTCTCCTCTGTCAGTGGGAGAGGTAGACCTGAAGAACATGGGTTGAGTTAGGGTAAATAGAACAAATTTTGAGTGATAATATCTCTGCAGTGATGGCTAAATTTCTGGCCCCTAAAAAATCCACACAGCATCATTGCCTATAGGGTCAAGTGCACTGTGGCAATGCCGATGTGTCTAACATCAATGGAAAATAACTAAGGTAAGCAAGGAAACTGGAATTAAAGTCTGGTTTCTCAACCAAGTCAGTGTGGAAAGAAAAAGGAACCACTTAGACGAAAAGGTGTCCAAAGCTAAGCCATGGAAGGAAACACAGAGAATGAAGGAGAAAGAGGCAAAGAGAAGAAGAAAATGTTAAAGTTATCTCATACATATTTCATCTGCTTTTATCACTATTTGTAATCAGTTCACAAGGTTTCCTAATACCATTTAACCTCAGTTACTTGACCCACTGAACAAGTCATCTCATTGTTACTAACTTGAAGAAAGGTGGTTTTTCATGTTGATAAGAGAGAAAAAGAAGCCACTCCTAAGAAAGAATAGAGTTCTGAGTAAACTTCTGTACCTAATGGAAGGAGTGGCGATCAGTCTGTCTCTAGCCTTAACCCTTTCAAAGATGCACCAAACCAAAGTAAGAAATGCATGTAATCAAAATGATGAACGTTATTTCCATTCGAAGAAACAATTATTTCCTTATGAAAAATAATAGAAATTATGTCTCATTACTTACCCATTTCCTAGGTCTGCCTCTTGGTCGTTTTTCTCCAGTAGCTTCTGCTTTCTGCAAAATAAAAAAGGAAGTTCTATCATTTCCTACCTCATTTTACTTATAAAGGTGACACTTTTCCAAGATGGAACATTCTGGTTTGCAGATTAGTTATCAAGATTGTTTTAAAAATCTCTTCATCCTTTTAGACTCATCATCTCCATTTTTTAATAGTCTTCTATCCTGTTTTTCACAGCATGGTATATAGATCCATGCCAACTTCACTCACCCTGAAAGACCTTTGAGTGATCCTTCAAATGCATGAGAATGTTTTTAAAAAGCTATTCATTTTGCTTTTTATCTCTGCCTAAACCAAACAAACATACCTCCTCTCCCATCCCTAATTATATAAATTATCATTTTGGAAATTAAGTATTCATATATGAAGATTTTCTTTCCATCTCACAAATAAAGCTACAAAAATTAGTACTGATATGTTGCTCTATAATTTGCAAAGCACTTCTACCTACCTTGCAAGTAAAAGCAAGTATGTCACCCACCCAATCCCCAAATATGCCAATATATACATCTTCTCAAAAAAGCATTTATTTAAACTTTTGGGGATAAATAACATTTAGTATATACTGTTCCATGAATGTGAATCATCCCAAAGCTATCTAAATACAAAAATGAAGGTAACTTGAGCTAGGATAACTTGTTTTGCATTTTCACTTTTGTTACTTGGGTTACCAGCCACTAGGTACTTGGTTTAATGATGCTAAAGTTAGTTACTGTAACTGTCTACACTGCTGAATGAGGCTCTTCTTCAAACTGTCTAAGAATAAATGGAGATAAATGATCGATTAACATATGTGGACAGATGGACGGGTGCTCGTATGGATGCGTAGATGGATGGACGGATAGGTGGACAGACAAAACAAACCACAAATTTCTCACTAACTATCACACTGACCTGCATTACTATACAACAGGTCCCATGAATGAACCCAAACCCTACAGAATTGTAAAGTTCATTCACATATATCAACATACGATATATATCATACCCCGGCTCTAGGCTGAGTCATTCACATACTCATTTTAACCTTTACACCAGCATTATAAGGAAGGTATTACTATATTAATATTTTTCTTCTTTTGCAGAAGGGCATCAATATGTTAGCCCGGTGAGGAACATCACTGAGGATCACAGAGAAATCCAGCAAGTAGCAGACCAGGGAGCCTAAGAACCGGGCTCCTCCCCTAAGAATGCTGCTTCTCTTTTGTGGATATACATTTGCTACCAGAGGGAGATATTTTAGTGAACTAAAATTGTCACCAACTCAGTAATTTAGCAGAACAAAAAGAAACCTGGTTGCCTTTAGGCGAACCATTTAACTGTCAGATTTTGGCACTACGAATCGATGTTTACTATTTTCAAATGGCTCTACAAAGGAATCATTTATTCTCAGGGGTTAATGGCATCATTTTACCTTCAGTCATAAGGGCATGAATCAAATTAAGTGAAAGCCAGAGTGACAGTGAATCTCACCCTCTTCCCTAGTGTTTGTCACCAGGAGAGGGGGAGACATCCTGGGAAAAACACAGATTCCCCTTTGGAAATTTAGATCAAATTGCTGCCCTGCCATTTTTGCTTTATGACTTTGGGTGGACCTCTGAAAATCTTAATTTGGTGTAAAATGGAGATAACAACTCTCATGAGAAGTGGGGTGGCCACCATGAGTGAATTGCTCAGTCATATTCTTTCACGCCTAAACAGGTAGGGTCTCAAAGGGAGAGTTTTCCTTCAAATTAGTCCAATCTCATAGACGGTTCAGTCAATGAAAATATTCCATTACAGCAATTTGTCACGTTAGAATGAATTTTTAAAAAACCCTTTGGCTCATAGTGAATTATATAAGTATAAAGTTCCCTAATACAGAAGCTGTGTCTGATTCAATCTTTTGGAGGAACTGTAAAATTGTACAGTTTGGCCAATAGTGAATAACATAAAAACAGAAGGTAGTAATCCTTTTTCATGAACACAGGGAGGTTAAGTATTGATCTGAAAAGCTAACAGTGCTGCACCAGGCTTTCTCTGTACAGTTGTTCTGTTTCGGGGCCCATGATGTGATCGGGGGTATCTAAAATCTGTTGAATTGTTCTCTAAAAAGGTTTCACTGAATTTTGAAGTCAGAGAAAGCAAATCTCTCAAAAAGAGAGAGGTTCTGAAAAATAAGGGGACTTTTAAATGAGCATTTCATTTACAAAAACCTATTGAAAAATAAAATTCACACCATTAACTAAAGGGCAAAATATCATGATTATCACTTAGACTTGTTAAAAGCAAACTTGTTCCTTGGTCTTCAGGCCAGTGTTACATGTAAACTGAAACTCTCTTCTGAGACTACATCTAGAAGAAACACATTAGCTGTACTGTGTGGCCTCGATCTGGGAGGTTTTCATTGTTCTTTAAAACCCACATTATTTAATCATTCTGATCAAACTTCACAAAGGCTGCAAAACAAGTTCGGATTTTAGTTTGTAAGTCAGCATAGACTCAGGATTTCATGAACTGGACAACACTGACTTTAATATTTTTTCCTATGTTTAATGCTCTTCAGAATAGTATTTTTCAATAGAACACAGACAAAGCATTTCAGGGCCTTGTTTTGTTTTAAATATGAAAACATAGGCAATACTGTGTAAGCGTATATTTGGTTTTCCTTTGCCAGAGTGGAATGTGCAATTTGGTTCTCAACTATTGCACAAATCCAAGTATAATGGAGACACAATTCCTTTTAAGTATTTACTGCTTGTGTGGGGTGGGGGTGGGGGAAGGTTTGCATTTGTAGGAATTGACTTTTCAGACCAAGTCCAGCACTATATATATTTGCAAACATATCACATCTTTAAGAGTGTCCTTTCTTCCTTACTGGTCTTTATTCATATTTTGCTTATTTTTAAGTTTAGATTCAGAACTGTACATTTAATTTTATAATATGTTTAGATGCAAGTTCATAAGGGATGAGCGACACATTAAATGGCAAATGTGTTTTTTTGTTTTTTTTTTTTTTCTCTCTAAGAAGTCCTGGTCCTCTGGACTCAGGAAAAAATTTAACTAATTTTTAATTTAGTTTAAACACCAATTTTTAACTTAATTAAGAAGGAAATCCTTGCAACAAGTAGAACTCTTGGACTGGAAACAGGGCTATAATTAATGCCTGGTGGACAAGGTGTGCTTGCTACAGTATCTGTTGAAGGAAGGAAGGAAGTAAACATGGGCATTTATATTATGCGTGCCTTATTTTCCTGTTATCATCAGAATTCTAGAGCTTAATAGGACTTTAGGAAGCATTTCATGGAGCACCTCTATTTAACAAGTAAGAAAACTTCTAGATGTTTTGTAATCACTAAAGACCTAACGAAAAAAAAAATGGTTTTCTTTGGGGACCAAGTCTGTGTCTATTAAGTACAATAGGCGAAAATTTCCAATCCCTATAGTTTGTAACAAGCTGCCCTCCAAAAGCTTCTCAAAATTTGATTTCCAAGCTGCATTTGAGGTTACTGGCCATAACATAATCTACCTGTGGCAAATACTTTGTAAAAATTTTGAGAGTACATGATAATCAAAAGATTCTAATTTGGGAATTAGATTGGAAATCAAATGCCAGCACACAGTGACTCCAGTTGAACATTAGGTAGGATATAGTTTACATCGCTGAATAATTTCCTCATTAGTGAAATGAACACCAAATGGCTATATCATAGGATAAAAGAAGCTAATATGTGTGTAGAGTGTCAGACAAAAGCTACCATATTTCATAGGTACTTCAATGGAATTTCTTCTATATTTTAAAATGTGAGCATTAAAAAGATCTCCCAATTCTGAAATTTCCACAGTGATTTTTTTCTGAGCATGATCCTACTTAAATAAGAAAGCTATTGCTTCTTCTGTTTCACAAATGGGAAGTTATTCATCTGCCACCTTCATAAGTAGTTAAAAGGAGACCCCAGTCTGATTTCAAGTTTTGTTGTTATGAAAAGTATTCTCAAATAGAATAAAATAGTGATAAGAAAATACATTTTAAAGAAAGTTCCTAGGGTAAAATTAAATGAGTAAATAGAAATAAAACATTTCCAAGATTTCTACAGTGAATGGATAAAAGCCGAGATTGTGAACCAACAGAATCATCTGAATCTGCTTTTGAGCTGAATTTAGATAACTATTCATTTTTTGCTATTCTAAATACTCTCCTATTTTCTATGTAATTTAATAATGTATGAAAGCCAGAGTTTTGCAAGTCCAGATCATTCATTGCATCTGTCTAACTTTTAAGAGAGAGAGAGCGTCAGACAAACAGATTTAAGTCAAGACTAAGACCTGTTGGATCCAAAGCATTATGAAGCAACTACTCAAATTTAGAAAGTTACATTTTATCTTTCTGTTGTTCGTTAAAAAATGTAAAATGTATGCATTGGTATCCAAATTAACTGGACTAATTGATCAAGCTAAGCATTGAGTAATACTCATTTTACCTTTTTGATAATCCTGTTTTCTGAGTTTCTGAATTTTGCAATCACTTTGTCTTAAAAGTTACAAGTTTAGAGGCCCTCCCTGGTGACACAGGGAGTTAAAGCACAGTGCTATGAAGCTATCTGCAGCCACTGTAGCATGAGTTCGATCCCCAGCCAGGAGGGTGACCCACATGGCATGGCAGACCTCTCCTGGTCCCACCCACTGCTCCCCTCAGCAGTGCATTTCATCAATTCACCTGTTCTGCTCTCTACTGTCTCTGGTGAAACGTTTTGGCCCTAGCACCTCTGACCTGTACCCTAGTTCTTGTATGCATAAATAAACACATCCTTAAAAAAGTGTCGAGTCTACTATCACAGTATATTTGCTATCTAATAGGAAAGACAAATTCTATCATCCATCATAGTTTTTTCATTCTAACCAAGGCAGCCCTTATGTCAGCTCCCATGTTATTACTTAGTCACTATTTTCACCTATGTAAGTACTAAATTAAGGCCAAGACTAAAATGATAAAAAAGATGATAATTTGCAAAGTTTACGGTTCTTCTCCTCTAGTTTTCCCTCAACCTCTTTTGTAATCAGAAGAGTCAGTAGCAATGATACAGAGATCACAAAGGTTACCTTCCAAGCAAACTGCCTCCTACATTATCCTGGAGAACAGAGTTTGACAGCATCTTAATCAATAATTCAATTAGAAGATGCTATTCAAACTGTTCAGTATATTAAACTGATTGCCTAAACTATAGTCAGTGCTCCATCCATCTTTTCCTCTTGGTTGGCATATGTAACTGAAAATTCCAGAATCTAAGATAGCAAAATTCAGTGTTCCACACTTGTCCAGGTTATGTGGTATCAACATATGTTCCACAGAGAGATCTAACAAGACAAGAATATTTTGAGGAATTTAACTGATATAAATGCTCTTCGATATCTATCTATTCTAAGAAAGAACTAAAATGCAACCGAATACTAAGCTAGTAAATTCTACCTCCTTAGAGGCCCTCCATGGTGGCACAACAGGTTAAAGCACTGCAATAAGAAGCTTAAGTCAATTCCTCATGAGTTCGATCCCCACCTGCCCCGGAGGAGATCCACATGGCGTGGCAGACCTCATCTGACCCACCTGCTGCTCCCCTTAGCAGTGTACTTCATCGATCTGCCTGTTCTGCTCCCCACTCTGTTTCTGGTGAATCTTCTCACCCTCCGCATCTCTGGCCTGTACCCCAATTCTGTATGAATAAATAAATCTTAAAAAAAAATTCTACCTCCTTAGCAAAATGATCTATGGAGATTCTGAGGTAAAGATGAGCCAGGTTGTAGGTCAAAGTAATAAGGAGCTTTTGATGAGCAATTTAGAAGAATGATAGCTTCAGACAACTAGAAATCTGAGTCTCTTGAAGAAGTTACTTCATAAAATAATTCAAATGAGTTTCAGTCTCCCATATTTGGATCATGATCTGTGATGACTCAAGGCATTGCTAAATAGAATTTACTAATGCATTAAAGCTTGGTCATCCCTGGCAAAGTGAAGTAAAACAAACAAGTCAATTGTTTAGGTAGGTCAGTCTGAAATATAAAGATAATGGACAAACCAGTTGGGTTTTATTTAATTCCATCTGCCTGCATCATTCATTTGTATATTCAGACAAAGCTCTGACTCCTACTGGAAATGGCCTGCCCATTAAAACACAGAGGAATCAAGCTAAATTTCACTGATAATAAAGAAATCATCATCTGGAATTCCATGACAAATTCCAGTACCATCTTTCCCCGACTTATCTATATTTACACTTTTGGTCAATCTCTTCAATTGTGGCTGAGAAAAAACAAAACAAAAAACTCCTATCTGCTTTCAGCATCTCTGCTTCAACATTTATCTGAAATGATGAGTAAAACCTACATTCTCCCATCCTAAAATATGTGATTGGCATTTATAAAAATATGAACATTTCTAGGAATGTGATTAAAAGTGCACAAATCTGCCTTTAGAGTGTCCAATTTAATTTTTTTTGCATGAGCAAATGAATAGCATACATTTAATTTCTATCCAAAATGCATTATTTGAACTGTACAGACTTCACCTAAATGGTATTTTTATTCTGTACTTTGCAATCTACTTCTGGTCGTTATACCTGGTCAAAAGGAAGTTCAAACAAGTCTATATGACATTGTAAAGCTGGGATAGCTCACCTGAGATCTCTTTAATATGCAATTGCCTTAATAGTAAAACATAATTTAATCTCAGAAAAAAATTCTTCTTAAAAGTAGCTGAGTGAGAACTGACTTGAGACCTACAGATGCATCTGCTTCGTGATCTCAAATAAGAGAATCCGTGGCAACTACCCCTGCCCCCAATAATCTCTGTTTATTAAAAAGCAACACTGAAAAATCTAAGCTAAAATAAAGGAAATTTGATCTTTCTCCTCTCCAAACATGGGAAATGTGAAATACAAAGAATTTCCATCCAGTACAAATAGGAGAGAAAAAACAAAAGGTAAATCCAGAGACAATTGATTACAGGTATATTTCAAACTAAAACATTTTTAAAGAGGTTCACGACACACACACACTCACATGGATAAACTATTTATTCAGGAAAACATTCTGATTTCTTTCTTTAAGGTAACAACATAAAACTGGTTAAGGGACATATTTTCAGGACTCAGACTGGAATTCCTGGGGATGGCTAGAATTATCACATAATGATCATGTGAGGGAATTTGTCATAATGGAATATAAGCAGATTGAAGCATAATCACCTCTTCCCAAAGTTCTAAGCATAACAAATCATGTTGCTGACAAATGTTTGTTTTATATATTACAGAAATCAATTTTATATAGAATATTGCCTAAAATCAAAGTGCCTGTCCATTTGGTCTTACAAAATACTGCCTGCATTGTCGAGTTTCACATTGCTAATCATCCAACAAGCAATTTTGTTTTCAAAAAGCCCTTAGGCCAGTTACTAAGTCCAAACACAAACTATGTAAGTAAGTAAAGAAACTCCGACCAGGAAGAGATTTTAAACATACAGTTTCATCAGCATCCAATGCACACTGTTTCCCCTCTAATTTTAGTATTCTGCCCTCCTACATACTTACCAAATTTGTTATATATTTTTCATTTTGATGAGTCTCGATTTATAAAATCATAGACTTTTCTCATCTACTCTGGCCAGGCTAAACAGGGTATCTTTCTCTTAAACATAAAGAATAAAACTTTTTCCATAGAAGGCTGCTTTTCAAAATTCTAATAAACCTATTTTGTTAGAATATGATATGTTTGATAAATAAATGTCTGATAATCACGCTCAGTCAGGACAGTAACAAGCTAAAAAAAAAATACTGATTTAAAAGTGAAAATACTTTAAATTTATACCATCAACAATCCATCAATGTCATTCATTATTTGCAAGGTATTATCTTCTCTAAATGAAAGGTAACTTATAAAAACTGAAGGAATATAACAGTCATGTTATGGTAAATATATTTAACCGCTTTTATTGAAAAGGGAACTTTCATAACAAAATTATGTGAAATAAGTGCATCTGAAAGAATAAAAGATTTTAAAAAAGGAATTTATAGAAAAAATTAAAAAATCTACTTCTGTTTTGGAAGTTGTGGCTATGTATGCATATACATGAAAAATTTTCAGCAAGATGAATAGCCAAGTAGGGTCATTTGTAAAAGCTTATCACTAAAGTACCTAAAAATAAATCAAACCATATTTGGGAAAAGGTCAATTTTGTTGTTATTTTGCTCTAGGTGGTAAGTTAGGCACAAGACTCAGCTTACCTTTTGTCATTAAAGATTTTGTTAGTCAGTGGTAAACTCTTAAAATGAGAAAGGTGATGGTAGCATCTCATTACTCATTCACAAAAAAGTAGTATAGTGAATAATTTGCTTTCCTTTCTTAATTAAAAACATTTTATTTATGATGAAAACTTAAGAGATTTCTTCCTGAAAGATACTACAGTATGTAATTCCACAATAGTTTAAATGTTTATTAACTACCTAACAAGATATTCCTTTCTCATCTCATTAAGGGTAAAATTAAGTTAGTAAGTCTCACATTTAGGCAACAACAACAACAAATCCCTCCTTTGCTCAATTAGTCCTTTTTAGTTAACTTAATATTTCAACAGGTAAAACATAACAAATAGTATTCACATTAGGAATAGCAGATTACACAGTCACTTTTAATGGTAAGGTAATTTAAGCTACTTCAAGGTTTATTGATCAAATATGAATCACAATTAAATTTTCAATCTGAAAGCTATATTTAAATATACTAGAAATCTGTTCCTTTAAATCTGTTCAAGCTTGTTAAAATAAAACAGACAAGAACGCCTAGTTACTCCCTAAATAACTTTATATGTATCGCTGGTTGCTATGGCATTTTACAACCCTGAAAACTATCATATATAATATGGTTAGTGTCCACAGTCACAGAGAAAACCACACAAAACATTAATTCCCCAAAAGATGAGCATACAGTCCTTTTTAACTCATACTGTGCATGGTGCACTCAAATCTTCTGAAAAGAATTTGAAGGTTTGTTTTAGTAAAATACAAGCCTATAAGTTAAATTCAGAAACATTTTTTGATTTTTTATAAAGCCAAAAAATGGGAATTTTATATTCACCTTCATTTGCACATGCAGTGAACTTCAGATAGTTCCTCTCTACTAGTTCAAATACAGCCAACATGAAGTTATGTTAAACTGCAATTTAAAATTTATTAGGATAGACACTGAAAGTTACATTTGACTGACATTCTGTCCTGCCAAATATATACATTAAACAAGTCAAATATTTGTTTAAATAATGTTCCATTTACAGCATTTCTACATTATTGAAGGAAAGACATTTCGAGGGCTTCTGATATGCTATATTGCAAGTTCATTGCAGAGCAAACAGTATTACTTTATCATCATAGTTGGAAGTGTAAAATTCACAATTTTTTCCAGTATTCCATAATAGGATTTACTTCTAATTATCATTAATTTGGCAAAGTACTCAACTTTAATAGGGGGATTTGGCTTAGAACAGTCCTGTAAGTAGGCACAAATTCAGTCAACCTTGATTATTTTAAAGGAAATGCAAAAACTACACCATCAGGCAACATCTACAGTTTTTGATTTGTTTGTAACTACTTCATAATTGTTGAAAATCTAAATGATGACATTTTCAACTCTTCTTCCCCACTCTCCCAGCCCTGTTTATAGTTTCCTATTATTTGGTGATTGTTTGAAATCAACACTGTAATATCTTCATTAATGCTTTATACTAAGCATGTGCTTATAAATCTTATTAATGTTAAATATAGGAAGCGGATCTTGGATTACCCAGTTGGGACATATCCTTAGGTGTGGATCTGGAATGGGAAAATTACAGGGCCGTTCCTGTGGTGCATGAAAGTTAAGAGAGCTTGACTTGAGAAATCTCACCTTTTGAGCTGCTTTGGAGGGACTCTTGTTTTTGCTGCCTTTGGGTCTTCCCCTGGGTCTCTTAGGAGAGGGCTCACCGGTTGGCTCCTAATTGTGGGGAGGAAAAAAAATGCTGTTGTGGCAAGAATATCTGAAAGAAATTGACCCTGCCTCTACAGCTCTATTTCTGCATGTGCTGTTAGCAGAGCTATTGGAACACAGTCAGCTCAAACATAAATGGATGATAATGGTTATAGAGTTTACAGAAAGGGGAAATAACTGTACTTTTAATCTCAGGGTTCAAAGAGGAAATTCTGTTTTGCATATGAAAACTGGATTCTATTTCAACCCCACAAAGATGACAAAGGTTGACAAAGCCATTCTTCTAGAAAGAAATACATTTTTAAGGTGTAAAATTTGCATGGCTATGTATTTGGCAATTGAGAAATAATAAGCATTTCACAAAAACACCATTTTCCACTGTAATAGCATTTCAAACAGAATTATGAGCTAACATCATAAATATTTCAGCAATCTCCCATGTTGAAGAGATGATTTTTAATCATCTCTGTATATCTGCATTAAGTCAATTATGACTCAATCAACACATTGAGTGAAATATTGGAGCAATTACCAAAGTTCTTCAACTTAAAATAACTCCATTCCCCCTAAAATTTCCAAATAATTATGGTAAATCTGTTGTGGGAGGTTTTGCTTGAATTACCTAGATAATTGCTTCAATTCTCCACTTCCTTTTGGAGATGCAAGCATAGTCTCCAGTCTACATTTAAATATCTTTTGATAAAAATAAACAAATTTTCCTCAAAACTTTCTTTAGAGACGAAACTCTCGTGGGGAAGGACTGGAGAAAACTAAAAGGGAGGTAAAAAGTGAGGAGGGATGGAAAAATCTGGAAAGGAGAAATTGAAACTATCAATAGGTCTAGCAAAACTTTAAATGGCTTCTATGCCAAGTAGTAAATACTCAAGTGGCTAAGAGACTCCTATGATTAATATTGCAGATACTAAATATTTTTTTCCAGCGAATCATCAATTTATATTTCATTCAGATTCGGTGATTAAGTGAAACTAGTTAGCTTTAAATGCAAGAGAGTCTTCCATGAAAATTCACATCCTATTTGGGAAAATCTGGGGGAAGTTCCCTGCAAGCTTCTGTGAGACCACCAGCGCCAGTGGGTACATCCGCAGCAAACACGTCGCAGACACATTTTTCTTTCTTTGTAACTCTGCCTTAACTCAAACGTACAACCTCCAATCACCTCCACACCCCGCTGCAATTTCTTAGGGGTTCTTTTTTGGAGCTGGTTAGCAATTGATAGAGTTAGAGCTGGGTGGCGGGTGGGAAACGGAGGAGGAGGGGGAGGGCAGAGACTTCCTGGGAGGTGTAAAACAGGATCCGAACGCGGTATAAAGTGTCGCATGGGCAGAGCGGGAAAACTCCGGGCCCTCTAGATTGGCTTGTTTCCTTTGATGATTTCAAAAGGTACAGCCCTCTCCGTTTTTCCAAAATGTACTAGCAAGCAAACACTTCGATTTCCCCACCTTGCTCTCGGCCACCTTGCTTTCGGCCTAATTATCATGAGGGCAGGGATTTAAAGCAAAAGAGCCAAGAAGTTTTAAAGCCCGCGGACGCAGAGTTTAAATGTTCTCAATAGACAAGTCTCCTTCCAACCCTGCCCGCCGAGGCTTGGAAATTGCAGCAAACAAAACCCCCGCCCTGGGCGCTGCGCGCAGCTCTGCAAGCGCCGACTGCACGCTTAATTGGTTGCATCCGCAGACAAAACCCTCCACTCCGCGGGGTCCCGGGCGCCCCTCGACCGTCCCCTCCCAGCCCCCAGTCGCTCGCCCAGGAGAAGTACATTTGATGTCTGCAGCTCTGAAGCGCGGAATCCTGGGGCAAAGTGGGGACGGGGCGGCTGGCGAGGAAGTGACCCAGCTACCGTGTACCCTCTCGGGCACTACTTCCCAACGCGCCCTTGGCCAAACGAGTTAACCTCGTCCGGGGGAGACCCGGGCTACCCAGTGGCCTCATCTCCGGACACGTCCCGGGCTGCAGCTCGTGGAGCCGGTTGCCGCGCGGCATTTAAAGAGCCCTAAGAAGACCCGATCGGCCCGCGAGTTCTTTGTCGGGAGGGCGCGAGTCTCGGGCCACCGAGAACCTGGGGAGCGCGCCAAATGGGCGGCTGCAGCACGCCAGTGCCCCATCCGCGAGCAGCCCGGGTAGGCGGGAAAGTGTCTCCGGGAGCTTCCCCAGGACTCCCCAACACCTTCAACCTTCGTGCCCCCACCCCCACGCCCCAACACCTCCCTCTCCTAGGGCAACAGCAAAAGTGGCCCCGAAAGCGTTTAGCATGCCCTGGATGTCGGACTCTGGGCTCTGGCAGTCCCCAGGAGCCACCGCGCCACTCAGGGCTGTGCACAATAGCGAAAGTCCGAGGACGCGCTTCGCCCGACCCCACCTCCCGCCTCCACCCGGCCGCCAGCTGGGGCTCCCCACCTCCCGGCCCGGAGGGGCGCGGGCTTCCGAGGCTCCGCCGCTCACTCGCGCGAGGACTCAGCCGCTCGCCTCCCCTCCCCTCCCCTGGCCGGCCGGCAGCGCGCGGCCGCGGCGGCCACCCGGCTCCCCAGCAGGTCACAGCGCGTCGCGGGACCCTTGCAGAGGGAGTGGAGGTGGGCTGGTGGCCCCAGTCCGCCCGCGTACTGACTTGCTGCTGCTTTCTGGGTCGGCCGCGTCCTCTCTTCTGGGGCGCCGGGGCAGCAGGTTGTCCCTGGGCTGAAGTGGACGGCTGCCCGGCGCCTTCACCGCGTGCGCTCATCCTGCCTCCCGCCGCCGCTACCGCTGCCGCCGCCGCTGCTACCGCCGCTGCAGCCGCTTCGCTTCAGCCGCCCCAAATCTTCCCAGCACCTTTCGGGAGTTGGGTGATAGGGCTAGAGAATGAAGCCGGGTGAGCGAGAGCTGGCGTGCGGCGAGGGCTGCTGCTGCTTAGGTTGCCGCCGCTGCCACCATCAACACCGGACGTCCAGCGGCTGCCAAAAAGAGAGAAGAGGGGAGGAGGAGGAGAGAAGGAGGCGCTGCTGGTGGCGGCGGCAGCAGTGGGTGGGTGCCGGAGGTGGAGGTGGCGGCGGAGGTGGAGGTAGCGAGAGAAGGAGGAAAGCTGAGAAGGGAAAGAGGGTTTGAAGTTGGCGAGGCTCCGCTCTCAGCGTGGAATCAGGAGTCGCGGTCACCGGGAGCAATTCGGAAACGGCTTGGAAAGGGAAGAGACTTTGAGTGAATTGTGTCCCTTGAAAAGTTAGGCGGGGAAAGAATTCCTCCTCCTCTTCCCCCTCCCGCTCCGCGCTCTCAGCGCAAGAAAGAGAAAGAGAGAAAACAAATAGCCCCTCGGGCAGTCGGAAGGCAAAGGATGGAGAGGCTCTGCCGGGTCCGGTCGGGCACAGAGTGCTGCTAGGGACCCAGCAGCGGGTGACACCGCGCCTCCTCGGGTGGCGGGAGCAGGCGGCAGCGGCACCGGAGAGTCGGAGCGGGACGGGCTGCTCTCTCCGGCGTCCTGCACCAAGTGCGCGCTGCCGAGGCTGGAACTTTTCTGAGTCCTTGCCCGGGGATTCAAGTGGGATGAGTGTGTGTGCTTGGGGAGGGGGCGGCGGGTGTGGGTGTGGGGAGTGCCCACCTCTAATCGTGGGCGGATAAGGGGAGGGGGCTGCTCAGGAGAAAAAGTATGGAGAGGAGGGAGGCCAGGCGGACCGCCTAGCCAAGGCGCCTGGCCACGGGCCAGAGGCAGCGTTCGAAATACAACTGCTTCGGCGGCGGTGGCGCCCGGGTGCCACCCGGAGCCCCGTTCACGTGCTCCCACCCCGCGGCGGGGTTAAAGGGACAGGCCGGGGATCCCAGGCCGGCTCGCCGCTGGTCTAGCCCCGCCCGCCGCCCGAGGTCGCCCCTGGGCGGTTGTCCTGGGAAGGCGCGGGAATGTGAAAGTCCCTGAGCCGCGTTTAGGTGCGTGGCCTTTACCTGCACCTCCACGGAGCGGAGCCAACACTCCGCAGGAGGCGTCTAGCTGCACGCGCGGCAGAGTTTTACTTCCCTGCGAGTGGGAAGGAACTGAAGAGGCGTAGGAGCTGGCTCTCTGCGACTGAGTTCTGCCTGGGAATGCCCTCATCACAGGCTGTGTACAGCGCGCGCGCGCACACACACACACAAATACGTAACTTATGCACACAAATACATGTGCACATTTGCAAAGACGCATACATAAAACAAGTAAGTCAACACGTAATCACTTGTATGCACACGTGCACGCAGATAGACATGCACATTCACACAGACACGTGCAAACAGTATGCACACACGCACGCAGAGAGCGCGAGACACTTCGTTGAGCTTTTTTCTCCGGGAATGACTCCAGACTGTGGGAATTCTACCCTCACCCCCGCCCCTCCCCGCGACTGGTTCTGTGTACCTGAGGTCCAACGCCTGCAGGGTAAAGGGGTTGCCTCACGTCGGGACCTCTTAGCTTTCTACCACCACAAGTCGCGCCATAGGTCCTATTCTACCTTCGATTTACCTCGATTTAACCTCCTTGGGAACTCCCTTTCTGCCAAGTCCTAATTTTATTACTGAGGCTGTTTCTGTGTGGTGTGAATACCATAAAGACCACATTCCGGTTTTTTTTTTTAAGGTGGAGTACATTTTAAAAGGCATCTCTTTTCATCGTTGAATAACAAGGGTCCTAAAAAAAACGTTCCGATTTTCACACATCACACCCAAAATTATTTTGGATGAATTCCAAAATGAAAGCTTACATTGAGGAAGACTTTTTCTCCAAAAAGATATACCACTGTGATATTAAAAAAAAAAAAAAAACAAACGCCTACTTTACAGTCCTAACCAGGAGTTAGGCACCGCCAGGTTCCCGGGTTACGAAGGAGGCGCGGAGGCGCTGATTGGTCCGCGTTGCCATTTTAAATCCATTTCCAGCTGCCCTTTGCAGAGCTAGGGCATTTAGCTGCGCGCGTTGAGTGCCCCGCAGAAAACCAGGGTTTCTCCTGGGTCTGGGAACGCTTAGCCACGTTACAGAGAGCGAGCCCGGGTCCCTCTGGGTGGAGCCTTGCAGCTGACAGGAGAGGGAGGGGTCTAACAGGAACCGAAGGTTTGAGGCCGAATTAGGCTGAAAGATAGTATCTTCATCAAAGGGACTGAAATTCCACGTCCTAGCGATTGGAGTGACATTTCCTAACTGCCAAGTTTGCACATTTTTAGTGTGATAACACTTGCACTGTGCTGTGCACATTTAACACGCAAATGCAAAATTGGCTTCTGTTTATTTTTGTTTGCCTGCTTTTTTGCAAGGAGTAGGTAGAAAGTTCTGAGGATGAATGTAGGAGAAAGCATTGAGAATTTCAGCCAGACAGTTTCATTATATTGTTGGATATATGTGTGTGTGTGTGTGCACACACATACATACACACATCTACATATATAGATGTTTTGTATGTGTTACATATATGCCTACATGTCTACCTATATACATTGTGTGGATTATATATGTATGTCTACATATCTATATATTTTTGTATGCAGAAGCTGAAAAGTAGGACATCTGAAACTTTTTTTTTTTTTTGCATTAATATTTGACTGTAAGACAAGGATAGGGAAAATGAAGGGTGGGAGTTGAGCCCCTTGCCTTCAGGTCACCTAGTGCCCTACTATTAGACTATTTGAACCTTTTTGAATCTATAACAAAGATATAAAACAAATACTGCCACCAGGTTTTGTGTCAATAGGTTTTATTTATTTTCATTCTTTGGAATCTTACATGTAACTTCTCAGGTTTCTGTGTGTTTTCCTTAGGAAAAACATTAAAACTTGTTTTCATCTTTGAAATTGTTTGGTTTTTAAAAATGGTGTCATATTCTTTTTACCAAGTTAAAGGGTAAGATTTATTTTGAAATGATTTTTTTAGTATTGCATTTGAGGGTTTTCTTTCCACTTTAAGTTTCGTAACTGTTCACTTCTTTATCTTGCCAATTTTTTGTTCATTCATTCAAGGCTAAACTCTTATCTCTAATTTGAAAACTTTCTGGTGGTTTCTGTCTACAGCAGGCTACTTCTATTCCTCTCCTGTAACCACTATCAAACTGAACAATTAGCACCATGGTTGTATATGTTAGCAAACTTTTGAGTGACACTGATTCAGTGTTTATGTTAGCAAACTTATCTTGTGACATTGATTCAGTGTTTGGATCAGTTCAGCTTATTAGTGGCTGCTAAAATTAGTTCTGTGGACCTATAACACCATTTCTCTTTTTTATGAGAACAGAGTAGAGAATAGCACATGTAAAAGTTCTGTCTTCATCATACAGCACATGTATGTAAAAGTTGTTTTAAGATTTTTTTTGCCACTTCCTATTGTGCAAGTTGGACTGTATCTTGATTTCAGCATGTCCCATACCAGATAAGATCTTTTTCTATATTATTAGTATCAGGATATTGCTGTGTTTTATGATCATCGCACTGTAGATCAGTGAAATACATGTATGTAAGGTTAATTCTTACTGTGGGTCCCAGCATATAATATATTTAAATATCACTGACTGGGATAGCTATGAGATCTAGTTTCCTTACAACTTTACTAAACTGGCTCTTCTTAGAGCTTCAGTTAATCATTTCTCCTCTCCTTTTCTTAGTGTCCTCATTTCTAAAATAAAAGATCAACATAATCTCTGTGGGGTCTTCCAGTTCTAGCAGACTTTAAAATATGCACATCTTATTCTATAATTACATCTTGTTTATGTGTAAATTCCATAGACATAGCACTTCGAACATCTCTTTTATAGTTGTGTGTGACTGGCTGACAGTTGTTCAGTTCATAATAGACAAGTGATCTTATTAATTTATTGGTAGGCCAGAGTTACTCTTAATAAACTACTATTTTACAAATATATCATAGTGATGAGAAAATTATTACATATACTAAAATATCTTCAAGGTTCTTTTGACTAAAGGAGATGCACCTGTGATAAAGAGATTGAATTTTAAACATCGCACTTTCTCACATTACATTCATACTCTAAAGAATAAGGATTTTCTGAGATTATAAGTTAATTAATCATGGACATATATATATATATTAAAGATAGATTTACTATTACCAGAAATATTGAAATGAGTCAATACAGGTTAACAGAAAAGATATATAATTAATATGTATTGAACAGAATGCACAGCATTGTGTAAATAAAAGCTCAATATAGTCCAAAGAAAATATTTATTTCTGAAAAGTATTTCCTGTGTTTTAACATGAACTCATTTGTACTTCTCAAACTCCGTTTTAGAGATAATGTCTTTTAAATTATGCTTACTATTTAATAAGATATATGAGAGGTAATCTCTGAGGATTTTCCTAAAATACCAAAAAAGAGGGCCCTCCCTGGTAGCGCAGCGGGTTAAAGCACAGCACTAAGAAGCTAAAGCCACTTCCTCATGAGTGGATCCCTGCCTGCCCTGGAGGTGACCACATAGTGAGGCAGACCTCTCCTGACCCGCCTGCTGCTCCCCTCAGCAGTGTACTTCTCAGTCAACCTGTTCTGCTCCCCACTCTGTCTCTGGTGAATCCTATCACCCTCCTCATCTCTGGCCTGTACCCCAGTTCTGTATGAATAAATAAATAAATCTTAAAAAAAAATACCAAGAAAGAATACATGTCACCAAGACAATGTTTTGGTGTTGGGAGAGGTTGTGAAGATAGGTTTTATAGTTCCACAGACAGGATCGCTAAGCTTGTTATTTTGTTCACTCATTCATTCCATAAACGTATTGAGTTGGTTTTGCAATAATCTCTCCTATTATTCTCTTAGAACTCAGGAAAGTAATTCATTCAGAACGGGAGAAAATCTCTTGTAAAACAAGTTGGTGCTCAAATAAAATATATTTACCTATTATGTTAAACCTTCTGTTTACCCTTGCAACTGTGTATTCTCCTTTATCCAATCAATAGTTCATTCAACAAATATTTATCAACATGTACTAGGATTTACAGAACATTCTTTTTTCAAAAAAAATTTATGTTAATTATTTATACAAACAAGAGCTGGGATGCCAGAGGTGCTGGGTTGGGAGGCTAAAAGGATTCACCAGATCCAGAGTGGGGAGCAGAACAGGTGGAGCCACGAAAAAACACTGCTGAGGGGAGCAGCAGTCCCTGGCTGGGGTTAGAACATGTCCTGCAGTGGCTGCTGATAGCGTCATAGTACTGAGATGTAACTCCTTGCACCACCAGGAAGGCCCCCACAGAA